CTTTGAATTAGTATTATTTAGTAGGTTATTTTGATTTTTACCACCTTCAAATAACGACTTTATTGAATTTACCACCTCCTAAAAAAAAGATTTACTTTACCACCTTATAAAAAAATTAAACATCAGTTTTCCCACCTAAGCCTAACTCTGGTGACGGAAACCACCAGTGGGGCCCGCCATAACAGCTAGTTTTTGAAATTATCCCCAAATTCTCTCGATTTTCCTCCTATTTAAACAACCTTCTTCATCTCCACATCAAATTGTTGAAGATTGAAGTTTTTTTTTTTTGCAATTTTCTTTACAAATCCTTAATTTGGGTAGTAAATGAGCCAAAGTTCATCTTATAATTTGCTTATAGCTTGGTTTTTGGTCTGATTTGTATCCTTAATGGCTTAAGGATTGCAAACAAAAACGTGTTTGATCTTATAAATACCGAATCCGTGGATGAGCAACAACAATTACTCGTACCTGAGCTGCTTCAATTTCTGTTTCCTGAACCTGATTGTTATATGACAGAGGTTTCAGAAAACAAACGGCGACGAAGAATAGATTCGACTTCTGGAAAAAAATTGTTCTCGTAATTCGGAGGTAGTGTGACCATTTCTACTGCCAAATTTTCATTGAAGTTAATTGTATTTGAACACAATTACCATAATCTAACCCTAATTTTACTGCCTAATTGAAATATCAAAAACCCCCACATTAATTTACACTTACATGAACCCTAATTATTTACAATATGAAATTGGGGTTGAATTAATAACAGAAAACATGCAATTTCAATTATACTTAGCAGTTGTAACATAATCACGCAAACAATTGCAAAAAATTACAACAGAATTCATGAAAATTGCTTACCTTTTCGCTGTTTGTCGTCGAACAGTTCAATTGATTCAGGGCCGAGTACAATCTTCAATAATTTGATAATTTGAGGATGTGGGATTGTTAAGGATCACCCAAAATCCGAATTTGTGAAGAAAATGGCAAAAAAAAAACTTCAATCTTCACGAAATAGATGTAGAAATGAAGAAGTTAGGTTTAAATCAGTGGGAAATCGGGAGAATTTGGGGATAATTTCAAAAACTAGCTGTTATGGCGGGCCCCTCTGGCGGTTTCCGTCATCGGAGTTAGGCTTAGGTGGGAAAACTGATGTTTAATTTTTTTATGAGGTGGTAAAGTAAATCTTTTTTTTTTGGAGGTGGTAAATTCAATAAAGTCGTTATTTGAAGGTGGTAAAAATCAAAATAACCTATTTAGTAAGCACAAAAAATTTTAGCACCGCCATAGGCACAATAGGAAATGCAAAATAGAAAACTAAGGACTGGGAAACGAGAACAGGAGGCTATATATGCAGGATACAGGTTGAAAAGTCATGACAAGAACGTCTCCTTGTCATTACGAAGTATTTCACACCATATGCTAGTAATAAAATACACCCATTGCCAGTAAGATAAATCCAAGCCTTGTGCAAGTATGCAATGAGACCAAAATTATAACTATCATAGAAAAGGAAGGTGCCAACTACATAGAAAGCTCAATAGCTCACAAAACAATAGTGATTTATGAATTCGCAAATTACATTACTTGAGAAGCCATTAATATCAGAAGGCAAAAGGAACTAAAGCGATACTAGAATATCCTAAGCATTGTGATATTGTTGATGCACGACTTCACATTTTGCTATCCATTCGCTTACTTCTCTGAGGAATTAGGTCCCCTCTTCTTGCCAAATCCAACAACTGAAATCAAAAGTATCATAATGAAAACCAGAACAAGATAATCAAGCACAAAAGCAACAAAAAAAGGAATTAGAAAATTTGACACAAGGAACTAGCACAAGGTATGATGCTCCTCTTATACTACAGGCAAATCCCAGAAGATGTAATGAAAGAATGGCGTTCAAGATTATATAATTAAGGCAAGACAGGGAACAGAAACTGAGACAATCTTAGAGCACAAAGGTAACAAAATTCTATTTTAAGCTAGGATTAACAAAGAAAACCAATCAAACAATCAAAGAACTACATTATTTGCATTCTTTAAATGATATATTAAAAATGATAAGTTGGTGCAGAAGATGTAACTTTTAGACTGTAGAAAACAAATTGAAAGACACCTATAATAATGTTCAGCCGAGTACTACCCAAATATCAGATTATCCCAATAGCTAAAATTCTCAAGCTCAACAGCAGCTTTTTTTATGCTTAGTACGATATATGCTCCACACTCAACTCAAAAGGCACAGAGAATCACCCTATGTTTCATATTGCCAACAATCAATGCAAGATTCTAAATAATAACGACCCTGCTCTCTTAATTGGCAATTTCCTATCACAAGTAAAGAACACATCCATGCCTAAAAATATCCTAAAATCTTAGATTAAAAAAAAAAATATATATATATATATATACAAAATATAATGATTGTTCGAGGCCACGGTAGTATGTAGACAAGGGCAGAATCGCAAAGGCAGGAAAAACCATTCTATGTTTCAATTTGCGAACTTTCAATGCAAATTTGCATCATTCTGAATCTTATATCTTGCTCTATCAATCTCTAACCATAAGCAATGAACAAAATACCCATGGGTTATTGATCCAATAAACCTAAACAACCATATTCCCGGCTAGTAAAAATCCTTCCCAAGGCTTTTCGAATGCCACAAAACACTGCTAAATAAGAAATGTACAAAACATATCAAATTGTTCAAGGCCCTATTCGACACAAGCACATAGATCAAAATGCACGAAGAATACCCTAGGTTTCATAACGCCAACCATCAATGCAAGATTCTAAATTCAATACCTTATTCTTCAAATTGGCAGCAATTCACAACCCACAATTAACAAACATATCCACTCCAAACCCCACCTCCCAACAATCATATTCAGCTACAACTACAAACTTTGATAAAATGATTCACTCCACTAATCAACATTTTCACAAACAAATCAATCTCAATTTTCTAACAATAATCAGTTTAATCACAAATTACAGTAAAATTCAACCAAAAAAAAAATGGAGGAGAGAGAAAAGAGTACCAGCAGTAACGAAACGGCGATTGTACTGCAAGCGCTTGTGAGCGCGGCCACGGGGCTTCTTCTTCTTATCTTGAGAAGCAACTTTCGGGGTTTGCCCTCTCACCTTACCGGCACGTGCCAATGATCCGTGAACCTTACCTGTAAAATCCAGTTATCATCATCAAATTATCCACCATTTTAAAGCTCAAATTACTCGAGATTTTCAATCAAAATCCGGAAAATAGGTTTGAAGGAGAAGAAGAGAGGTTTGAGGATTACCCATTGTTGTTGATTTTGTTGTTGTTCTGCTGCTGCTGCTGCGATTTTTCTCTCTCCTCGAGTTTGCCGGCTAGGGTTTCTAGGGTTTGAGATTTTGCTGAAATGTGAGGTTTTAAAGGAATGATAGAAAAATACTTCGTATTAATTAAAAAGTGAAAAAATGGAGCTAGGTTATTGGAGATTTAGGCCCATCAGCGGATCAGCCCATTCTCGTTTCACTTGAAACTTGAAAGGTCCAATAAGAAAACACGACTTGAGAAATGCTTCATATAGGTCAGGTTTGAGTTCATGTCGATTAAATAAATTCGAGTTAGAAAAGGTCTTAATAGTTTATGGACATGTTAAAATAGTTGATAAATAAATTCATTATCAGAAACTCAATTGCTCGTGCAATGCCTGGATCCCGAAAACTAATGTGTCATAGAAATAGTGTAGATCGCTCGTATAACGCGTGAATCCCAAAAACTCAATCTAGGTAGCCTTTTCCATAAATGAAACATGTTAACAGTAGAAACAACACGCACTGACACTAACTTATATCGTCATACCACGTATCAATAAGGAACACAAGCATATGAAGGTTGCTTCATATCAGACTTTTTGTGCCGGGGCATCTGGGGAGACTATGCGCACGTGACACATGCCTTTAGAATGATTTACATTATGTTCTACCCTTATTTTAATAAGTATGGAGTAATAATTTAAATCAATTTTCTCTATCATTTTTAGTTACTAATTCCAGTTTACAATTGTGTTAGTAATCAAAAAGTGAGACAATGTGTTAAGAAGAGAGAAAAAAACTTGAAGATAGATAATTTGATAGAGAAGAGTGAAAAAAATTAAAAAAATTAAAAAAAAAAAAAAAAAAAAAAAAAAAAAAAGGTTAAAGAAGAGAGAATTTGATCAAGAGGATAGTTAATATGATTGAGATTAGTGAAAAAACTTAAAGAAGAAACAGAATTTGATTGAGGGAATTTTATTGATTTAGATCAAACGTGTGGAAAAAGTGAACGCCAATAATTACTCTTGTCATGAATGACAATAACAAGTGTTCATTGGTACTTTTATGTGTGGAGGAAGTGCACGCCAATAATTACTCTTGTCATGAATGACAATAACAAGTGTTCGTTTGTACATTTATACCTCAAATTGGTGTAGTAGCTGTACCAATATAAAGTCTAAAAATATCAACAAACTTGTTGAAAATTGCATAGTACACCAGGGGTAAAATTAATCCTTTTATTAAATAAAAAAATAATAATTTCAAATCAACCCATTCCTTAATTCATGGGATTTATCTTGACAATTACATTTTTTTTAACTTTCAAAATTAAAAGTTTAACGTTCTTCAATTATTTCAAAATATTTTAGAGTGAGAAATTAAGAGAGAGAGATTAACGTCGATCGGAATTAATCAGAGAATTTATGGATTACTTTTTACAATATTAATGACATATCAATTAGAATTTCGACATGATTCTGATGCTAGATTTGTTGATAATGCTCATGATGATGATGATAATGATGATGGAGGTGATTTAGAGAATATCGTAAACAGAGACGAAGGTATGTAATTTTCTGTTTATTGATTCAATTATTTATTAATTGATGGATATATAGGTTATATTTGATAGATGATAATATATTTAAATGATTGTTTGTAATTTTCTTGTTGATTATAGTTTTACATTTTCTTGAAGATGAAGTTCTTTCTATATTTGGTTATGTTCTTTTTTTCATTTACTAAGGCACTGAAATAATTATTGATTCTATTGATTAATAATTTTATTGATTAAGCATATATGTTCATTTTATTAAAATGAACATTTTATATTATTAAAATGTACATGGCAGTATAAATGTTATGTAATATTTAATTATTCATTATGTTCTTGTTTTAATAACTGAATGTTCTTTTTTGAATTTTGTAGTGTGGGTTAGTATGTTCTTTTATGTATTTATTATGTTCATTACATTATTTCTTATTGTTCCTTTAATTATATAAAGTACATTGTGCCTAGTCAGAATGTACATATATAGTTTTTCTAATGATTATATTATATTATTATTTATTTTAGGCTTTACTAAGGCTAAGGAATCAGAACTATTCGACAAAAAAGTCAAGTCTGATAAAGAGGCATGTGAGTTGTACAATAATTATGCCTTTAAACATGGTTTTGGTACACGAAAGGGGAAGTTGAATCATAGTAATGATAAGTTTACTATTCGACAACGATTTTGTGTGTGTTCTTATGCTGGTCTTAATAAAGAAAAGAAGCTTGGTGATGAACCAAAAGTCTATTAGAAGAGAAACTTTCGTACAGGATGCAAAGCATCTATTCAATTTGATGTTGATAAAGAATCTGGTTTGTTTGTTGTGACCAATCACATCATGGAGCATAAGCACAGCAGGGTTCCTGTATCAAAAAGAATTTGATTAGGTCTCATAGGAAGGTAAGATCATATCTCTACACACTAGTGTTGTTTCAAATACTGAATATTCTTTAATAAAATAGTAAATGTTTTGTATAATATATTATTGTGTTCTTTAGCTATGCCATCATATGTTCTTTTTATAATTAATGATGTTCATTATGCTATAACATGTTTTCCAAGTAAATGTTTGATATGCTTTTTTTTTTTTTTTTTTTTTTTAATTGTTTATAGGTCACTAAGGAACATATTGGTATGCTTAGTAGTTTAACTGAGAATGGTATACCTGTTGCTGATGTTGTTCGAGTTTTAAGGAATCAAGCTGGCGGTTGGGGTTTCTTTGTAGCGATGCTTATGGTGCTTTAGCTTCGGAGAAGAGAAAGAAATTTGATGGGTGTGATACTAAGCAGTTGCTTAACTATTTTAAAGAACGCAAATCACATGAGTATGACTTTTATTATGATTTCGATGTTGATGAGAAAGGTCACTTACAGTCTTTCTTCTTTCGAGATAATAGGATGAAGGTTGATTATGATGCTTTTGGGGATTTACTGGTTCATGATACAACATATTGTACAAACAAGTATGCCATGATTTGTGGTCCATTTGTTGGCATGACCTGTAATACCCCGTATTTTTATACGTATTTTAATTTAAATAAGTATTTCTTAAAGTATTTAAATAATTCAAAATGAATTATTTATGGTTTTTATTAATTTAAAAAGAATTATTTTAATTAAAAAGTTTATTTTTAATTATTTAATAATCTTGAAAATATTTTATATTATGATTAAAAAATATTGGGGCATATTATTTTATAAAAAGATAATTTTTAAAGTCAATGGTATTTAAGGATAGTCAAAATACTAGTTTGACTAGGAAAGGGATCATTAAGGGTAGTAAAGGAATTTTAAGTAGGAGGGCTATTGAGAGGGGGTATAAATATTCATCATATGCCTAAGGTGGAGTGCACCCAAAGGTAAACTCTCTCTCTCCTCTTATTTTCTTTTCCCCTTCCCCTTTAATTTATTTTATTTTAATCACCACCCACACACACACCACACACGTCGGCCGACCACCACATGTCACCACTGGCCGGCAGCCACCACCACCACCAGCACTCGCCAGCAGCAGCAGCCACCAGGCGGCGGCGGCAGCCAGCCTAGGTGGTTGTGTGTGCCGATGGTTTACAAAAAAAAAAAAAAAAAAAAACTTTCTTTTTGATTTTTAACTTAAATCTACCTTAATCTAATTATTGTTTTTGGGTTTTGTGATGATTTTAGGATTTTAATAATAAGTATTTTGTATATTAATTTTCAGATTTGATTTTGAATTAAAAAGCCCCAAATTGAAAATCCTAGGTTTCTAAATTTATGTATAATTGATGGAATTTGATTGTGGGTGATTTAAATTATTGAAATAGGTGTTTTAAAACATAATTACAGCAATTTTATGAGTTTTTATTAAGCTGAATTTTTTATATATAAGCTATAATTATGTTTCTTGAAAGGATTTTTAATTACCCATTAATTGAGAATAAAAGTAAGGGTTTTAAATAAAATTTCAGATTATTTTAGGGGGTTTATGAGTGATTTAAAGAGAGTATATATTGTTGGAAATTTGTGTGGAAGAGGTATTACACTACAAGAAATAAGCTAATCAATGACGAAAATAATCCCTCGAAATATCATGAAATTTCGTCGGAACTGACTATTTCTGACGGAATTCCGTTGGAATAGGTCATCGTAAATCTATGTGTAGGAAAAACGACATTTTCCGACGGAAATTCCGTCGTAACAGTATTTTCCGACGGATTCTTGACGGAATATTTTCGTAGAAAGAGCTATTCCGGCCACCAGAAAGTCTGTCGGAACTTTCCGACGGAATACAAATCCGCCGGAAAATTCAGACGGAAATTCCGTCGGAAAATCAAACCAAGAAAATAAAAAAAAAAAAAAAAGCCCCCCACCACTCACCATCACCACCCCACCACCTAACCTCCCCCTTAACCACCACCAGCCCCCACCACTCACCGCTCCTCCAGCCCCAACCTCAAACGAACCCTATCCCCACCACCTAACCTCCCCCTTAACCACCACCACTCACCACCACTCTCCGTCAGCCCCCACCACTCCCCGCCAGCCACACCACCGTTCGACCAAAAAAAAAAAAAAAAAACCTCGAAAACAAAAGTAACCACTAAATTCGTAACAAAAACCGAAACAAATTACGAAAATTAAGCCAAACAAGTCGAAAAATACAACACAAACAAATCAAAACCAGTAGATTTACATATTTAATTAGAATTTCATAAAAAAAATTAAACAAAAGCCGATAATTATACATTAAAAATTAAAGGACATACAATTATCTAATCAATTTATTATCAAAATTACAATTACATAAAAAACTAAGTAAATCTACAATCTAACTTAAATTAAAACTAGATATACAAAAATACGAGACTTTCGCGCAAAAACCGAGAACGAAAACGCTTACGCCGTTGTTGTTGTTGATGTTGGTTGGTCGTAGTTGTTTATGAATGCGTCGTTGTTGTTGTTGATGTTGGTTGACCGAGATCGAAACTCTGATTTTATGAATGTCGCGCAAAAATCGAGAACAAAAATTCTGATTTTATGAATTTCGAACAAAAACTCTGATTTTATGATTTTATGAACAAAAACTCTGGTTCGTTGATGGAAAGAGAGAGAAAGAGAAAAGGAAGAGAAGAGAGAGAAAGAGAAGAGGAAAGAGGAGAGGAGAGAGAAAGAGAAATGAGGGAGGAGAGGAGAGGAGAGAGAAAGAGAAAGATGAGGAAAAGAGGCGCACAGAAGGAAGGGAGAAAGAGGGGGAACGTGTTTTAGGGTTTTTTTTTTTTTAATTATTCCGGAAAAATCCGTCGGAAATGGGGAAAAATCCGTCGGAAATTTCCGACGGATTTGATTTTCATAGGAAAATTACTGTTCCAACGGATAAAATCCGTCGGAAATTTTCAACGGATGTCGGATATTATTTCCGTTGGTAATTTACTGTTCCGACGGAATATTCTGTTGGAACAACCTAAATTTTCCTACGGAATTTTATTCCGTCGTAAACTTTCGACGGATTTCCTATGGAATACAAATTCCGTCGGAATTTCTGATATTTCCGACGGAAACAGTTCCGTCGGAATTTGGCCTATTTCTAGTAGTGTTAATATTTCTTTGTAATTGTGGTCTGTAGGAGACTTTCAAGTGAGTGATTTTATTTAGTCGTGGCGATTTTGAGATCATATTCAAGGTACGTTCGCGTATTTAGTAATTATTTGAATATGTAGAAGCATGCTAGGCTTTGATTAGTTAATTCCAAGTAGTATCATGATAGGTATTGGTGGAATTTGTTGATTGGATTGATTTGGTGATTAATTTGTGAAATATGAATTATTTGAAGTGAATTGTTGATTGGAAATAATTATGTTGGCATGTTGATTGTGAACCATACTTTTATTATTGGCATAATAGAGGGCATGTTCAATTAAACTAAGTTTTAATTTGGTTTGGAATATTGAAAAGGAATTTCATTATGGTTCATATAATTTTTATTGATGCTATAAGCATGAGGAATGAGCTATTTAAGTGTCTATGTACACGAGGATTAAATTATATTTTTGGTGCCTAAGTGCACTTAAGATGTTTCTAACACCGAGAGATAGGATTTGCGGCGCATTATGCGTTTAAGGTGTCTTTTACACCGAGGTAGATTAAAAAGGGTTCAACTATTAAATTTATGTAGTCGCTAATTATTCAAGAATTAAATTGGTATGTTTGATTGCTTGAATGAGTTATAATGTTTTATTGTGTTATGGTTTGAGAGTCATCATCGAGTCTAATAATATGTAAGTGAAAGAGATTACGCACCAAAACTCTTGGAACGTATATACCTTGAGTATGAACATATGGGGGGGGTTATGCGACTTTATATTTGACCATAACTTCTACTGGGAATACAAGACGCTATATTTTCCTTTTTATTATGCGCAAGAATTCCGCCACTTATGAGTGGTTTATTGTATACTGGCATGGTTAGCTCCCGTGTTAGTACCCCTTTATTGGGGCAGGTTAGGGGGAAACCCATTCGATGCGTAATAAAAAATAAATGAACATTGGTATTGGTCTAGTTAGGTGTTGAATGTTTTGTGTGCTTGTAAACAGCGGTAACACGGTAAGCTGTGTGTTGTTAGGATGAAAGCATGTTAGTGTGTTTTATTACGCTTATGTACTCAACTTTGCTGATTGTGTGGTTGTATGTTTGTTTTGCCTTGTCTTTACCTTGGCCCTATAACGACTCATTTCTAATGGCGAGTAGTGGAGACAAGTAGAGAGAAGCTTTTCAGGTGATGAAGCATATTTATGAAGGGGCATGAGTGAAGAGTGAATCATGCTTAGTTCTCATAGGAATATGATGTGTTTTATTTGCTTTGAATATTATTTATTTTATTATGATCATGAGACTAACACAAAGGTTTTAAATATTGATTGGGTTTTAAAGGCCTACAATAGTTCCAAGTTGTAGGTTGACTTAGTTTGACTTTTGTTTTCGTTTGGTTTGACTTTTTCAAGTTGATTTGTTTTTAAATGGTTTTAAAGATAGTCTTCTGTTGTGTGTGAGTCTTTGATATTTGCCTTAGCTGTTTTCACGGTGGCGGTAATGTCTTAGATTTTCCTTTTTCGTATTTTAAAAGGGCAAAATGGGTATTTTAAAGGAAAGGAATTTACAAATAGAAAAAACCACACCAAATAATGGTAACGTACATAAACTTTACAAATAAAGAATATACACTTAATATAACAAAACATGTACCTTTCTTTTTCATCACTTTCTCTTCTTTTTCCATAATTCTTCTCATTTTTTTCTTTTCCTTTTTCACCAATTTCCTTTTCTCCTTTTTCTGATTTCTTTTCCTCACGATCATCATCCGTTTTTCCTTGGACACTAAAAGTACGCAAATACAATGTAATTAACATCAAATGTCTTAAAAGAACATAAAGCCAAAGTAAAAGAGAGCATAATCATTATATCAAAAACATATGCATCTTAATTTTAAATTACCTTAGATTTTTTCCCTTTCCTCTGTCTCTTTTTTCTTTTTCTGTCTTTTGATTCTTCACAGTATCAACATTACTCTTTTCTGATTTCTCAACTTCAATATCTTCAGTTTTTTTTCCATGGATCCTAAAAGTAATCAAATACAATACAAAGAACATGAACTGTTATAGGAAGTACATAAAGTTCAAGTAAAGAGAACATAATAAAAAGTACATCAAGCATAAACAACATTTAATTTAATATAAAGAATATCAAGCTTGAAATAAAGAACATCAAACATGATATAAAAGAACATTATTAATATTGGAAAGGAACATAAGTTTTTTTATTTTTTAACCAAACCATAAGATTAATATTAGTACATTACATAATCAACTAAAAACAGAAATGCTCTAATGTAATAATAACCATCTAAGGCATACATAGATATCACATACCACTAAATAATAGAGTCCAAAATATACAAACCAACATATTAAACAATAAGTATGTGAAATAATTACTTACCCGGTCTTCTCAATATCGCTCTTTGGATCGCTGAACACGGTCTTCTCAATATCACTCATTGGATCGCTGAACACCTTATCCACATCATCAACTTGAAGACGTAACTCAAATGAGGGTTCATCCACTTGAGCAGTTGGTGGTGTCTTCCATATGCCCTCATATTCTTGTTGCCTTCCATTCACATCTTCGGGTTGTACACCATCATTCATCACCACATTCTTGACGACATCGTCAATTATGTTCCCAAACCAATCTGAAGCAAAGAAGTCAGTGTCCTGACTCAGTATTGAAGCTCCTTCCACACGTTGATTTTGTGTGGGTTGCTGTATTTCAGAAGGTAATTTGGCGCCGGCACATTTAGACCACATGGCTTTAACATTGTAGATGGTGGTCTCCTCGACCAAGGGAGTTGTATGGAACCTCTCACCTAGTCTCAATAGATTGGATAGGTTGACAAAATCATTGGCTATCCTCTCTGTTGCCTCTCGGAGCATTTGATTATACTCCTAAAATGTAGATAAACATTCAAAGATGTATTGAAATACATACACTATCTACAACAACATGCCATATTAAAAAAATTATAGATGAAATACACTATATATACAAAAAGCATGACATTATGAAAGAAAGAACATTCACAATCTTAAAAAAGAACAAAGATTTAAATTAAAAAGAACATATACCTGAAGATTTGTTGGGACATGTTGCTATTTTGATTGATTATGTTGATCTTATTGTTGTTGTTGTTTATCTTGTTGTTGTTGTTGTTGTTGTTGTTGGGTTTGTTGTTGTGCTTGTTCTTTCTCTTCTCCAGGTGGTTGTTGTTGTTGTAGCTCTTCAAGCAAAACACCTCCCTTGATGGCTTGAACTCCAATAAGATATTGTGGTATTGGGATGTCCACAACATCTGGTCTAGGAATTTTGTCCAAGACTTTGCCAAGACCAAAGCCAAACCCCAATTCCTCACCAATGCGTTTCTTGACGACATCTTGTCTCCACTCTTTCAATATTGAGAATTCTCTAGGCATATACAAAGTATGCTTTTGGAGTCGATCGAAGTAACATATCTGCATTTCATTTTTAAAATTATATACGAAATCAACAACAAAAATTAATTACTTAAACAATGTGTGTTTTACACAAATAAAATTTAAACTAAGTGAAAACACATTTCATGCATTACCATTAGAAATGGCAATGGCCCAGCAAAGTATTTATTCGATTTTTTCCTCCAAAACACCGTCCACTCAATCAAACTCTCTATTGCATAAGAAGACCAATCATATTCAGGGATCTTCTTGGTGTCAGTTGCTGTGCACAAAAATCTGCTCAAAAAGAACATCGTTAATAAAATAAAAGAACATACTATGAAAACAAAACGAACAAACTGTATAAATACAAAGAACATACCATATAAACGTAAAGATCATTCTACATAAGCAAAAAGAGCATACTATATCAATGAAAAGAACATACTATATAAACCAGATAAGCCTTTTTATACACTACAGTTAAGAATATAAAATATAAACAAAAAAAAAAAAAAACAACACAATTAATACAATGAACAATAACTCGCTAAATGAAGAACATCAAATTAAATATTTTTGTTTTTCTAAATTTTTTACCTTAGATAAAGTTGTGTGCTTGTCACAGACTTAATGCACGAGTTGACAACTAAAACAAGGAAGCTCCTTCACCAGTCATCATCAAGTGGAGTAGTTTCCAAGCATAGTTTTACTGCCAACTTCGTCAAAGTAGGTACTTGACCTCCATGATACCTCTTGAATTGCCTCACCAATTCATCATACTCCTCTTCACCAGGCTTAGCTTCTACAATTTCTATTCCTCCAAATGGTACTCCATTTAACAGATGAACATCAATTGCCTGGATACTTAAAACCTGATTTCTACCACAAACTATGCACATCTCATTAATCTCCATTCTACCAACATAATAGCAAACTCAGGTGAATTTCTAGGTAGATCAAGGTGTAAAAACTCACCAAACCCCATGTTCTTTATTGCTTGCAGCTTATGACCTTGATTTTCTAAAGCAATCACCAAGTTCATTAAGGGTTGTACTGTATGCCTAGGTTTCACAACACCTCTACCAGGAAGAATAGAAATGTCCTCCTCATCCTCTTCATCATCCTTATCTATTTTTGCTTTCTTTTTTTTCTGAGTAGGTTTCACCTTTGAAACCTCCTTTGGTATAGTTACCATTGATAATGTAGTTCCTGATTGGGAAGCTGATTGTGCAACACCAACTTCGGGTTTCTCAACAACCTCAAAATAAGGCTCTCCAATTGGTGCCCTCCTCTTCTTTAGCACCACTTTCTTTTCTTTTGGAGCAACATCCTTAAGTGCCTCTCTAGTAGCTGGTTTTTTTGAATCTGCATCACCTCCTTTACTTTGTTTAGGATCAAATTTCTTACTGTAAAAAAAAAAACATTGTACAATAATTTAAAGAACATGCTTGATATTAAGAAAGAACATCATATATAATGCATGCTTACATTGTGATTAGACTAATGTAAATCAAAAAAGAAATTCGTAATAAATAAAAGAACATGTAATCAATAAAATAAGTACATGTTCCTTTTTTTAATACCTTTTTTTTTTTTTTGTAGCTATTTGCTTAAACCGATAATCTATTTTCTTTTTTGGTAGACTCTGTTCTTGAGGTTATGATGCCTTTTCGGATTTGATTGCTTTGGGTTCATCTTCGCCAACCCTGTATGATAGACTTATGAAATGAAATCTCAAATGAAAAAGGGATATCTAGTGATCATATAAATCTTAGCTTACTAGGTGCTCTTTATTTTCTGTTTTAATTTAATAATGTGATCTTAATATCAAGTCCTATTAAAACTATCTATTTCTTAACACTAATTAAACCAAAAAGGGATCTTATCTACACATAGCTTATTCACTAATTAATTCCTACATACATCTTGTTCTTTTCAACTGAAAAAGCATAGTAAAGCATTGAGCACCAACCCATTAGAGTGATCATCCACTCTAGCCATGTTATTAAAAAATAGCAAGCAAATTAATATTAAATAATTAGTATATAATTTTATATATGAGGCTTGGTTGACTGAAGTTGACCGCATACTTTAGAAGATTAGTAGTTAATTACTGGGGTCCATAACAATGCTTTATTTCAAGCTTTGACACAATAAGATTAATATCTATACAATACCTCAATCATCATTATTCCTATCTTATGGATTGGGATATGGGCATCAAGATCACCACAAAAAAAAAAAAAAAAAAAATTAAGTATTGTAGGATCAACACACAAGGTGGGGACTATCTTGATAATGGATTCCATTATCCATATCAAGTATGATCATCGCAATAAAATTTCACTCATCTTAATCTATAACCCCATGTGTCACTCTGAAGTCCTCTTCTTTCCCAAATGTCACTTTTCATTTCATCTCAAGATCTTTATTTTTAAGTTTTTAATTTTTTTTACAACCATATCAAGCTTCTCAACAACTAAGCAGATCAACCATATCAAACTTATCCACCATATCAAGCTTAAATTTACTAAATCCTCAAAAATCATACAACAGAATATCATATCCTCCAAAAAGAACATGTACTCCTCCCAAAAAGAACATTATAAGAAAACATATACTTCTCTAAAAAGAACATTATAAAAGAACATGTACTCCTCTCAAACACAATAATATAAAAGACATACAAAATTAATAGATTTAAATAAAAGAACATATACTTCTTCCAAAAAGAACATTAATTATCACATTACAAATTAAATAATTAAAGAACATTACAGTCTCACACAACGAACATGCGAACAACCATAGGTCTATAGTTAATTATTATTTTAATGACCCTACCAACAACCAAATCCACCATTTTTAATGAATTCCTAGGAACAAAACAACATGCAAAATCTAGAAAGTGATAACTATATCATACTTGGAACTATCATCCATATTGTTTATGGATCTTAAGATTGTCGGGTCCACAATCGGACCTATACCATCTACAATGACTGCACTTTTGCTCCCTTTTTTGAGAATACTCAACATCTTCTTGTCATTTACTGATAAACAACCACAAATAACCAAAAATAAAAAGCATCAGATCCAAAAATAAATCAGAAACAAATGGATCAACTATCCACTAAAAACAAATAACTAAAATGTTTAAATAAAAAACCAAGTTTGTTGATCATCTTGTCGTTCTTCTCGGACCACAATTTGTTCTTCTTGACTTTGTTCTTCACGAATCACTGTAGGTTCTCTACTTTGATTCAAAAAAACCCAAAAAACAAACACAATATATATATATATATAAATAATAATAAAAAAAAAAACACAAAGAAAACAAAATTAAACGCTAAAATTACAAATTATGGATTAAAATATGATTTGTATTATAACAATTACTACTTACCTTTCATATAATTCGGCCATATACTCAAGCTTTCAAATTACACTAGGGTTCTTAGTTGAGCAAACAGAGAAAATAATTTGAATAGAGAGAGAAACGAGTTTTTGGGAAATGATATCAACCAAAAGATTTTTTTACAATTATTGTGGACCATGGGGGTAACTTTTCGAAATTCAGTAAAAAAACTAACTCCTAATTGCTCGCGTTCTTTTACTCAGGGTCTAATGTACTTTTTACACTCCATGTTCTTTACAAATTAATCTAATGTTCTCTCCGCCTTTTACATGGTTGATTGGGGTATGCATTTTGTATTGAAGGCTGTCGTTTTGGGCCTGGTGCACCATGCTCATGGTGCACCCTGGTACACAGATCATAAATTAATCAACAACTATCTTTTTATCTTAGATATCGAAATTAAAAACTAACGAACCCTTAGTTATTTGGCTACACTTGATGCGAAAAAGATGAACAAAGATCTATTCACTAGTAGAAAAAACTTAATAGGCACCCCCCCATAGCACCGGTTCTTGAAAATCGGTGCCAAAATAAATGGGCGGGACTTAAAAATTCATAGTTGGCACCAGTTCTGAATTAAACCGGTGCCAACTACACTATTTAGCACCGGTTCAAACCGGTGCCAACTGATTTTTTTTTTTTAAAAAAAAAATTTAAGAAGGTTAGAGTTGGCACCGATTTAAAGCGAACCGGTGCCAAATACGCTGATTAGCACCGGTTCAAACCGGTGCCAACTGTTTTTTAAAAAAAAAAAAAAAAGAAAAAGGTTAGAGTTGGCACCGGTTAACCGGTGCCATTTAAAAAAAAAAAAAAAAACCCGGGTTTTTTAGGGTCCTGTACAGTTCAATTCGTGGTTTCTTCGTTCTTCAATTCATATTATTGCTAAGGCGCGTTTCTCATTCATCCTCCTCTCTTCTCCTATTCCTTCTCCATTAAAGTGTACTCTTCGTTCTTCCATTGAAGTGCTGCAACATTCTCACCTCCATTGAAGCAGCTAGTTCGTCGCATTGCCCCCCCTCCACGTACAAGCAACTCCAGCCATATAACTCCCTCCATTGAAACGGCTTCAAGCTAAGGTAGGTTTTACTTATATGAATTCCTTCGAGTTTTTGGTGGATTTTTTTTACAATTTAGTAATTATATGGCCGTTGTAATCTAGGGTTTGTGAATATACACGCGCATTGCCGCCGCCCCCTCCACGTACAACAACCTTCTTGCTCGCTCTCATTGTGGGTCTAAGGCGCCATTTCAGGTAATTTAGAAGATTGTGTGATGTTTTGTGGTTTCTCAGGCAACATAGAATGGGCATGCATCCTTGTTTGGTTTGTTAGAAACTAAGGTGAAGGGGAAAATGTTTTTGTCAAAAATTATTTCATTGTTTTATAAAGATTGCTTGCAGAGACAATGTCAGGAATCTTTGCCTCAATAGGAACAACTAACAAAGCTTGTTAAATGTTTTTTTTAGCCAAAACAACGATTAATGTAGATTATATTTGATCTCATAATTTGAGTTCCATTCCTTAATGTTGAGATGATATGCCCTATTAACTACCTCTGTCTGCTAGTGCTGTTTTTAGAGGGTCTGCCTGGTTCTTATTGGCTTTTCTGGCTGATGTCTTGTCCCTGTATACTGGCTTCAAGTGCTGCTGTTGCTGCTGTGTTTTTTGTTTTGTCAGTTGAGGTCTGGCTGGCCTAAGTTTCAGTGCTGTTTTTTTTTGTTTCTGTTTTCAGCTAGTTGTCTGTTTTCTGTTTTTGGTTGTGTGGGTTGTTTTCCCTGTTTGCTTCTTGTTCTAGTCCTTGCTCGGAGTACCCTTCCTAGAAGGTGCCTCCTTGCTTGAGTCTAGGTCCCCCTCCTTGTCTTCTTGCACCCTTCCTAGAAGGTGGCTTGGAGTTTGGAAGGTGGGTTGGGGTTGGTATTCTTGTGCCCTTTGGGTTTGTGTTGTTTTTTTTTTTTTTTTGATGGTTGTTTCAAGCTTTTTAGCTTGTAAGTTGTAATTCTTTTATTCTTTTATTGTTAATCATGTATTTATCTCCTAGTTTGTAGTTATCATGTATTTATCTGTCATGATTCTAGCCAATTTAGTTCCTACTTTGTAGCCTTAGAATACGAGATGTACTATGTATATATTCTGGGACTTTGAATGATAAAGCAACACATTACATTCTTTCAAGTACGATGCACTATTTAAGAACGGGGTTAAGATTTCAATGTTCTCAACTCAAGTTTCAACTAAACTACCAAGAATTATAAAAAAATCCCAATTTACATATTTATGTCAATAAATATTCTTATTGGTTAGAATGGACCATTTAGGGGGGCATAGTTTCACATTTGATTGCTAACTTTAGAGAATCTCTCGTTCTCTTTAATCATATGCCCCTATTTGTATTTATTATCCATTTCTCATACATACTTACTAATAACTTTTAGTTTGTTTTTTCTTTTTATAGGTTCATATGTGAATTGAAGTTCAAGTGTAGTTTGAAGACTACACATTAATTTAGCTCAACTGGGAAGTTAGAAAGAATACATCTATTGTGTTGGTATGAATTATAAACTTTTCTAAGCTATAAATATTTGTTTCTCTCTATTATTATTTTAATAAACGTTTTTTCATGCTAGCTATTAGATTCGTGTATTATATAATGACAAACTAAATACAACAATAAATATATGAAATGTTTGCATCATCATATGCCTAGATACCCGTTCAAGGCTTTCTCATTAGGAGAAAGTCTTGAATAGTCCCCGGTTGGGACTGTTCTTGAACGTTTACTCTCACTTAGGTGGTGAATGTATGTCTATTTTTTTCGATTTTAAGGAACATCTTGGCTTACCATTTCCTCGAACACCATGTTCTCTGGGTACATATGTGGGTAACTTATTACCTACATCGTGTACTTGGAGAACTGGGGGGAAATGCTGCCGGATTTTCCTTAAAATTGGAAATTCGACATACATTCACTAGTGAGAGTAAACATTCAAGGATGGGTTAGGTTGGAGTGATAAGGACCCTTTGGAAGCATATATGCATTTTTGTATCTATATGAATGTTATATGCATGTTGTGTGTTTGAATTTGATTTACATATATAATAGATGGTAGCAATTATACATGATTCGTAATATGTTTCCATGTTTAGAGACAATTTACTTAATGGAGAAGGATCGTGGCTGGATGTATGGTGGACGTGATACATTGGAATTCTTTAATGGGGTTTAAGAGTTTTGCGAGAGGGCTTCATCTTACAAGCGCAGAATGGGTTTCGATTGCCTCTATTGTCCTTGTGTTGATTGTAATAATGTGAAGGTGGTCAATAGTGTTGCTATCATTAGAGATCATCTAGTTTGTCGTGGGTTTAGGCTTAAATACCATGTGTGGATTTGGCACGGTGAAGAAGGAGAATACAATGGGGATGTTATTGGGAATGATGTGCATGATGATAGAAGCAATGACATTTGTGTGGATGAGGAGTACAAGAATAATGATGAACATATTGTTGATCATGGTGCTGAGGATGGATTTGAGAATGATCATGTGGATGAGGTCGAGGATGAAGGGGTGGATGAGATGATGCGTGGTTTTGAAGGTGACGTGTTTGAGTCATTATCGGAGGCTTCTAAAAAGCCTTTGTATCCTGGGTGCAAAAAATACTCTAAACTATCCGCCGTGCTAACACTTTTTAACATTAAGTTGAAGCATGGGTGGACGGACATTAGTTTTACTTCTTTGTTGAGCGTGTTAAGTAAGATGTTGCCCGACGGGAATGAAATTCCTAAGTCTTACTATTACGCTAAGAAGCTCATGTGTCCATTTGGTTTGGAGTATAAGAAGATACATGCATGTCCTAATGATTGTATTCTTTATCGAAATGAATATGAAAAATTGGAGGAGTGTCCACGATGTAAGAAGTCGCGCTACAAGCGCATGAGTTGCAATGCTGGTAAGCAGGGACCGCCTGCTAAGGTGTTGTGGTATCTTCCCATTATTCCAAGGTTTAAGCATCTATTCTCAACACCAACAGACGCTAAAAACTTGAGGTGGCATGCAGAGGGAAGAAAGAAAAACAGAATGCTGAAGCACCCAGCCGACTCCCCGCAATGGAAGAACCTTGATATGAAGTTTGGGGAATTTAGTGATGAAGTCAGAAATTTAAGGCTTGGTTTGTGCACGGACGGGATGAATCCATTTGGCACTCTTAGTACCCAGCACAGCACATGGCCGGTACTTTTAGTGATCTACAATTTGCCTCCTTGGTTGTGCATGAAACGAAAATATGTAATGCTTTCACTTTTGATATCAGGGCCAAGGCAACCTGGAAACGACATAGATGTTTATCTTGCGCCCCTTGTTGATGATTTGAGAAAGATGTGGGACGAAGGGTTTCTGTTTTTGATGCTCATAAGAATGAGATGTTCACATTGCGTGCAGCTCTTATGTAGACCGTTAATGATTTTCCTGCGTATGGCAACTTGTCCGGGTATAAGAACAAAGGGAAAAAAGCATGCCCCATTTGTATTGATGATACGCCAAGCAGGCGCCTTGATCATTCTCACAAAGAGGTGTACTTGCGCACCCGAAGGTTGCTCAGGCGCGATCACCCGTACCGTAGGCAGAAAAGGCTTTCGATGGGACAGTGGAAGAGGGGACTGCTCCTAGGCCGTTGACTGGTGAGGAGGTTTACGCTCGAGTAAAGGGTGTACGAACAGTGTTTGGGAAATCAGAAAAAGCGGCGGAGTCAACTACTCTCTTTAAAAAAGAATCAATCTTTTGGTTGCTCCCGTACTGGAAAGAACATGACGTTAGGCACTGTCTTGATGTAATGCATATAGAGAAGAATGTGTGTGATGCTCTTGTGGGAACGCTGATGAATATTCAAAGCAAGACAAAGGACGGAAAGGGTGCACGGGACGATTTGAAAAAGATGGGGGTTCGTCCAGAATTGTGGGTTCAACAAAGGGTTAGTAAGGGAAAGGAACAGGAAAAGGAAAAGGAATTGAGTTCGAAAACAGGACAGGGGAAGAGCAAGGGAAAGGGAAAGGCCATGGATGTGTCGAAGAAGAAAAATGAGGGAAAATCCAAGTCAGGCAAGGCCTATTTACCTCCGGCTTGCTACACATTGTCAAGGGTAGAAAAACGGATGTTTTGTGCATGTCTGTATGGCATTAAGGTTCCATCAGGGTACGCATCTAACATGAAAAGATTTGTATCCTTAAATGGAGAATTGAAGCTGACAAGTATGAAATTCCATGATTGTCATGTTCTGATGCAAGTTTTCCTACCAATTGCAATACGTGGTATTTTACCAAAGCACGTGCGGGAAGCTATTACAAGCCTCTGTTTGTTTTTCAATACAATATGCAGCAAAGTGCTTGATGCTTTACAGGCGGATGTGGTTGTGACTTTGTGCAAATTTGAGATGTACTTCCCACCCTCGTTTTTCGACATAATGGTGCATTTGATTCTTCATTTGGTGCGTGAGATTAAGTTATGCGGTCCAGTGTTCATGCGGTGGTGCTATCCTTTTGAAAGACACATGGGTACATTGCAAGATAAAGTCAGGAATCGGGCTCACCCGGAAGGAAGTATGATTCAAGGGACCGTGGCTGAGGAGGTCGGTAAGTTTGTGGCCGACTATATAGCCGTTGCTAAACCTATTGGTATT